AATAGACCGCGCACCTCCCAAAGCGAGCTCCCCCGCGCGTCGCCTGGGCGGTGCACTGAAACACCTAGAACGCCACCGACTGGAAACCCGACAGAGAGACAGCGCCGAGTGCCAGGCGCATTTGGAGTTTGAAATAGAACACGACGGGCGGGGGCCCCACGCGACGGGCGGCCGAAGCAAGAGGCCCCCACATCATCATCGTAGAACACCTGACTGTCAACTAGACCTTCGCCGAGCGACATGTCTAAGCGACAGGGAGCTTGATCGCGCGAAGCTCGTGAAAATACCTCGCGCAAAGCTGGGCTGCCAGCGGCGGCGGCGGCGCTCTGGGCGGGCTCGGAGCCCTGAGGCGCGGCCCTGACATTGCCCTCGCGGACAAGAAACCAAAACCGCATGGCCCAATAACTCCACCCCCCGTTGTCTCCCCCAGGGGCAGCCCCGCCGCCGAGAGGACCACCCAGGGGCAGGAACAACGCTCCTCGCATGCAGCCGACAGAGCCGCGAGTGCGGCGAGCCCCGCAAACAAGCGCCCTTTCCACGTCGAGAGGGGTAAGCGGGCCCGCCCCAAGTCCTGCTCAAGATTGCGGAGAATGCCGCGCTCGCCTGGTCCAGGGGCCATCGAAGACACCTGGGAATGAGGCGGGTAGACTCAAAGCCCCGCGGGGCACTGCCATCAAGAGACCCCAATTCCGCGCGGGGCCCAGCCCTCGCTAGTCCCCGCTGGCCAGAGGCCCGGCGATTGACATATGCCGCCAGGGCGCCCCCCCGCGCCGCGATCCCGCGCAAAACATGTCTGCGCTGCCGAAGCAGCGATGCACTCGGAAACAAACCGTGGGCCCGCGTCCCCGAGGCCACGCGCCCTCATAGAGAAAATGCGGCGCCCGCGCTCACGGGGCCACGCAGTCCGCGCTCGAATCGGAGGGTCTCGGAAGCTTGGCCTGTTCAACTCGAGCGGTGGCGCGAAGCTCTTCAGACGCAGCCATGGCGCTCTCCCATTCGAGTGGCGCGAGGCGCCGCTGCTGCGTCCACATCTTGGACTTCTCGTCCACCATCTGCAAATGATGAAACAGCACCTCGCCGTCCGCGACGAGCTCGCCGGGAAAAGGGTTCACCTTTTTGAACGACTTGCGAAGCGCCCCATGGGGCCTCGGAGGCGGCGGTCCAGCCCTGAACTCACGCGGAGAACGGCCGAGAGCACGTCTTCTGGCTCACCCTGAAACTCGCGCGGCAACGATAGCTAGGTGACCCATGTCCTCGACAGACAGGGTCACGCATGTGAGAAGCTTGACCTGCCGCTGGCCCCGCGATGCGCCCAGATCGGCGGAAATGCCGGCAAGCGGAACGCGCGCCGTCGGGCCGATCACTGGCCAGCACCGAACACGCCGCAACGCGGCTGCTGTTGCTAAATTACCTTGCCCGGAAAACGGCGAAGATGCAAACGGCCCTGCGCGGCGGCCGGCCTGCCCCGCCACGGTGCAACTTGATCGCGAGATGGCCGCCCGCGAACCTGCTCTGGAATTTCGACTTTTGAAACGGAAAGCAACGGCCCCTGGGCCAGGGGGGCGCTCCCACAGCAAGAGGCCCCACGATGCTGCGCGACGGCGCTCTCGAGCGCGGCGACCCAGGGTCCGCGCGCAGCCCCGAGACTCAGGACGCGCGGTCCGTCCACGGCATGGGCGGAAAAAAGCCGCGATGGGCGGCCGGCCGAACCTCCGACTCGTCAACGGCGCGCGCGCGCGCGCTCCGCACGGACCCCGCGCGCGGCCCGCAGTTCGGGGGGGAGGGAAAAGAGGGGGGGATCTGCCCGCTAGCTGCCGAGGGGTCGGGGGGGGGGAGGGGGGCGCGCTGGGAATCGAAGCCCGAGGGGGAATGGCCCCCCCCCTGCGCTCTAACGCCGACTGGCCTCCAAAACGCATCTAGCAGGCGCCGCCACTTCGGGCCTCGCCCCGGGGGCAGCGGCAGGGGCGGCGTCGACAGCGAGTGCGTCGACAGAAATCAAGCGACGCGCAACATGCATCATCGCCGTCGGCAGCCGCTGAGCCCAGCGACGGCCCAGCAAGGACGCTAGAAAGCGCAGCCGCTGCACCGTCGGCCGCAGGCAGGCTGGACTGGCTAGGCCAGCCGCCGAGAGACGCATCGGAATTCGAAATAGATGGATCCCAAAGCATCGCATCAACTGCTCCTGCCTGCCGCTCGCGCCCGAGCTCCCGAAACGCTGCCTGTCGCGCCTGGGGCTTGCTGGACTTGGGCCCTGGAGCGGGTCGGGCCCTGGGGCGAGGTGCTGGGGGCAGCCTGGCCGCGATAGCCAGTTCGCGACGCTGCAGTCGACGACCTGAGCTGCGGAGGCGGAGGAGAATCTCGCAATGAGGGTTTCCAGGGGGGCGATCGGGCCGCCGAGACCTGGGGGATGCGCGGCGCGCGCGAGTGGCTAGCGAAGATGTAGCATGGCGCTCCCCCCTTCCATGATGCGCATGCGCGCTCGACGCTAGGCGTGAGAATGGCCCCGCCTGCGGTTCGACATTGAAATCGCCGGCGATAAACCAGGGGCGACGAGAGCGTGGAGCAATGGCTCCTAGCCCAGCGAATTGGAAGAGACTCTGTCTGCGAAGCCCCTCGGAGCTGAAACCGCGGAACGTGATAGCGACGACCGAGCGCCCGTCCATGTGGATGATGGCCACGAAGACCCCGTCGCAGGCACGCATGGATTCCCGGAGTAAACGCATCTGAGGAACTGAGCCGTTGAGCTTGGAGATGTCGGCGACACAAAAGATACTGTCCTTACTGGCACTCGCCCTCTCCTTCCCCGACGGCCGTGCTGGATTGCCGCTCAGCTTGGGTCGACTCTTCTGCGCCTGCTGTCTGCATTGTTAGCGGTCGGGGCCTGGCTCGACGCGAGTCTCGACTTGGCCAAAAAAAGAAGCGGGGCACGCGCTGGCAATGCGATGCAGTCCCAAGTTTGCTTCCCGACCGTCGTGAACGAGTCTGAGGCGAGCTTGGATCCTGAAACACCCTCGTGAACGAGTGACTGCTGGGCACTACGACCGCTCGTAGAAGGCATGGTAGACTTAGCTGAAAGGGTCGGCTGCGAGTAGTGGCGCACTCACGTTCAGCTCCCCATGTGCCTGGGGGGTAGATGACTGGGGCCCTTAGACACACAAATAGGGACACAAAAATAAAAGGATTCCCCATATTTCCCCATAGTTTCTGGGTTCTTGTCTCCCCCCACTTCCCATATCTTCCCGTATCTTCTTGGGATTATACGATGAATTGTGTCTGCGATGTGTTCCCCCTCCTGAATAGAGTCGCCATCCACGACGGCGCCGATCGTAGGGGCGCCCCCGCCTGCTTGGCCGCCTGCTCCGTGTCCTCTTTGGCTGCGTTTATGTTCGCCTCTGCCGTCTTGACTGGGCCTCCTGCTCGAACTTCTGAGCGTCGCTGCGCCGCCCTCGTTGGACACGCTGCTGCAGGTGCGCTCGCCGCTGCTGTCCCCGCTGTCAGGCGGGGCTGGTTCGGCGGGATGGCTGCCGACGGCGTCACCATCAGCTCCGCGTCTATTATTGGCCATGCGCTTCTCGATCTGCATATGCAGCTCCTCGGTCCTCGTGAGCCACGTGAGGACATCCGTGCCCTTGTTCGTGAGCTGCGTCGTGGTATCCTTCAAGTCGGATTCGAGTTTCCTCAACACTGCTGTCTCCGATCTTTCGGCTTCCACGCTGTCTAAAGATTCGTCCCACATTATCTTGAAGAAAGTGTCTATAGTCCCTTTCTCCTGGGCCGCGTTGTCCACCGGGACGACGCCAACCTTGGAAGCGAGCGCCTACGTCGCGAGCCGTTTCGACTCGATAAATGTGGCCAATGCGAGAGCACACGTGCGTTCTCTTTCCTCAGCCCGTGATGAATTTTCGCGGCACCTCTCCGCGGTCGCGAAAGCCGGGTCGTGTTTCATCTGCGCGTCCTTGACCGCGCCGTCGGCTTTGCGGACCGCATCTTCCGGGGAAGGAGCGCCCACCTGGGCCTCCTGTAGACGAAGAAGGCCAACCTGTCCGAGCATCGCCTTCTTCAAGGTCTGATCGGTGGTGATGGCGACGCGCAGATTCCAATGTGGCGATACGTGAGCTCAAGGCCGTCGCTCCTGCAAGGTGTCCGCCACAACTGCTGGTCTGTGATTCGAATTGGTTCTTATCCTTGTCGTTACCGCTGCGCTCCTGATGGAGATCGACGAACCTTCCTCACTTGATCAACCTGCTGTTCCATTTGGCCCTTACGCACTCGATCAACACGCGGTTCCATTCGGCCATTACGCACCTTGTGCACGTTGACCAGGCGTGAGCAGAAGAGGCTGCAATCAAGAACAGAAAGAGAAATCTGCTTCGCCCCGCTTCGCCACCGAGAAAGGCACGAGGTTGTGCTGCTTCGGCGCCCCTCAAGCGCCAACGTGAAGGCGGGGGCCTGACACGAACAAGAAAAAAGGGGCGTGTGAGGTATGAGTACCCAGTGTACTCTAAAACCTGCTCGTGCCAGAATGCTTGAGGGAGGAGGAGGAGGAGGAGGAGGACGAGAAGTGAGGAGGGAGAAGGCGGCTGGCCAGAGGATGGGGAGCGTGAGGGGGGGAGGAAGAAGTGACAGAGAGGGGAGGAGGGCGGGGAGAGGAGGGAGGACGAGAGATGGATAGGGAGGAGCAAGGGGCAGAAGGCAGGCATAGCAGAAGGATGAGGAGGAGGAGGACGAGGAGGAGGAGGAGAAGGCAGACGGGGAGAATGAGGAGGAAGAGGAGGCGGAGGAGGCGTATAAAGCGAGCGGAAGAGGACGAGGAGAAGGAGAAAGAGAAGGAGGTAAAAGGGGGGGGAGCGGGTGGTGCAGGAGCAGAAGCCGGAGAACGAGCTCGAGCAGGACGAGGGAATACGAGGTTGGAACACGGCGAAGGAGGAAGAGGAGAAAGAAGAGCGGAAGGAGCGTACGAGGAGAAACTGGAGGAATAGAGATGATAAGGGGCGAGGGACCAGCCCAGCAACCGCTTGGCCTTCCACGGCTGCAGCAGGACGAGCCACAAACGTGTCAACGACGTCATCGCCTCGAGGCTGAACTGCTTCCGAGACTGGCTTGCGCGCAGGAGATCCGTGACGAAATCGATCAAGGGCTGTCCAAGCAGGGACACTTCGCGCGTGAACCTGGACGCGTGACTGCCGAGCGCAGTCGCACCTGGAGAGCCGACCTCCTCGCACTCGTGGCGCAGAGCTGGATTTGCAAGCACGTGCAGCGCCACAAGACGCGCCGCATACAGCGGCATCGGCTGCGCCCGCCATCTGATGCTCTCGGGATCGGGCTGCCCGGGCTGCAGCCCAACGCTGCCCGCGTAGCCTGCCGGCAGCACCTGCTCGACGGGTTCGGGGGCGATCAAAAACTCGTGCAGGAGGTGCAACAGGAACCGCGTGGCCTGCGGCTCGTGCGCGTACGCCAGCTCGTACGTGTCGTGCTTCAGATAGGCCTTGAGGTGCGCGAGCAACAGCCGCTCGAACGCGGGGCTCAGCGAGCCCGGCGCGCGGGGCGCACGGCCGCTCCCACTGGTCGACGACCCCATCATTATGGTCGACATGCCGGTGCTGGCTCCTGCAGGTCTCTCGGGTGGCCCTGGAGCAGCTGGGGCCCGAGGATCGCGTCGCACCGCCGATGCAAAGGCGACGCCAGGACGGAGAGTCAGCCCACGGCGATGCGGCGCGATCCTCCGATCCCACCCGGCCTCAGCCCCGCTCGGGAGGCCCAGAGCTCCACCGCCAACTCCGTCGGTGCCTTGCGTGCCATCGCCGGCACGATTTGGCTGCGCGCTGCTGCCGCTGCTGCTGCCGCCGCCGCCGATGCTGACGGCGGGCTTCGCCGCGGGCGGCTTGCCCTGCGCGAAGTGCACCAGGCAGGTGAGCAGCAGCTCCTGCGCCGTCAGGGTCAGCCCCTCGACGTCCCCGGTCGCCGACCTGGCCCCTCAGCTTGCCTCCTCCTCCTCCTCCTTCTCCTTCTGCTCCTCCTCCTCCTCCTCCTCCTCCTCCTCCTCCTCCTCCTCTGCCTTCTCCTCCTCCTCCTCATCATCCGACTGACTCCTCCTCCTGCTCCTCCTGACGCCTCCTCCTCCTCCTCCTCGCCCTCCTCATCCTCGTAACACTCCTCCTGACTCCTCCTGGCTCATTCATTCTGCCTCCTACTCCTCCTCCTGTTAATTATCCTCCTCCTGCTGCTCCTCCTCCTCCGCCTGCTTCTCCTCCTTCTCCTCCTCCTCCTCCTCCTCCTCCTCCTCCTCCTCTTCCTCCGCCGACTGACTCCTCGTCCTCCTCCTCCTCCTCGTCCTCCCCGTCCTCCCCGTCCTCCTCCTCCTCCTGCTCCTCCCCCTCCTTTCCTCCTCCTCCTACTGCCACTCCCTCTCCTCCACTTCCGCTTTTTCCTCCTCCTCTTCTTCCTCCTTCCGCCTTCCACGTTCCTCCTTCCTCCTTCCCCCTCCTCCTCCGCGACACCTCCGGCCTCCAGCCTCGTCTTTCCCGCGACCTTCTCCTCACAGAACTTGGCCGCCAGGCCCCTCTCGGTCCTCGAGTGGTTCTCGGGTCACATCTCGATCCTGGCGGCCGTCCGAGACGAGTAGGGCAACCACAGCCCGCCCATGGATGGCGAGGCGCAGCTGCCGAAGAGCACCCCGAGGCTGGAGCTCCTCCAAAACTGGCCAAGACTTCCAAACCCCCGATCGGTCGTAGAGCCTCCTTCTCCGACCCCCCTCCCTCCCTCCGTCGGCAACTGCGCCAAGGGCGGATAGCCCAAGGGGGAACACTAGACTACATGTATCCAGGCGTTCCGATCGCTCCTGAGTTCGACGAGGCTCCAAGGCGGATTCGTGTCGTGCTACCCCCTCCCCTGCAGTACGGCAATTTCGCGGCGTGACCACTTACACATTGTTTTTTGACACCGCGTGGATCGTTCAACTTTGAACGCGGCACCGACCGATTCTGGGCCACCAGCGGCGTTCAACCTTGAGAACGCCCGCGCTGGGGTCGCCGCCGCGCCAAAAACACAAGCCTGCCGTATCCGCCTCTGTCGATGCCTCCGAGTTTCGCCCCTCCGTCGCCACCCCTGAGGGTCAACGATAGGGGGGACTGGCTCGATGAGGGCACATCGACCTTGACTGGGCGATGAATCGCCGAAAGGTCGGCGATGGGCACAAGCGGGCCCTTGATCGCGAACTGCGCGGCCCGGGGAGGGGTCATCAGGCCATTCTCGGCGACGCGCGGGCGGATGGGGGTCGGCGCGTGCCCCCCTGAGCCCACCCCCCCCGCAGCGTTGCCCACGAACCCCGCAGCGGCACGGTGGCCGCGCGGACCTGGCCAGGCGCCCGGCCCCCAGCTGCGAGAGCCAGGCGGAGCCGCCGCCCAGGCCCGCCGCCTGGAACGCGGTCCTGCCGCGGGGAGGGGTCGAGATCGAGGTTCGAGGGGGGGAGGACGGAGGGAGGGATCATGAAGGGCGGACCAGGAGTCGATATACATCTGTACTGATGCAACCAATTCCTCGGAACATGGAATGCCGATCTGCCCGAACTCGAGGCTCGGCAGGGGAGGGAGGGGCGCAGGCATCCAAGGACGGCCCAAAACCAAGAATGAAGAATAATACCCCGAAGAAGCTCGGAATGACCATCATGATGGGTCAAAGATTGCCCTAATGTCCAAAAACAGCGACAAGACACAGCACGCGGGACATTTAAAACATAGCACTCCCAGCGCAGAGTGCGCATACAGAAGACGAAAGGAAGGCGGGGCAAACCGCGCCGCCAGGGACGTCCCCCGCGACCGGCCATCTTTGGCGTCTCGGAACGCTCTTGGGCTGTCGATGGGGCCTCTTGGGACGCTTTTGGAATTCTCTCGGCGCCTTCTGGGGTCGTCTTCATCCTCCCGGCCCAATCGCGCCGCGCCCCCGGAGCCCCAGGGCCACCCTGGCGCGTCGAAGGGCCGCCGTGGGAGCCGCCAGACCTGTTCCCCGGTATGTATGTTTGTATACATGCATGCATGCATGCATGCATGGATGTATGTGTGTATGTGTGTATGTGTGTACGTGTGTATATACATATATATATATATAGAGAGAGAGAGAGAGAGAGAGAGAGAGAGAGAGAGATGTATGCACTAGGACCTGCGCGCGCTTCGCGCGCGCATAGGTTCTCGTTGGATTCCCAATCATCAAAGGCGCATCTGTCGGAATGCACTTCCGCTGAGCACAGCATGGCTGCGAAACAAGCCGTAGGGCGGCGGACATCATCGTCGTTATGGTCCGCTTCCACGTGATCGCCGATCGATGCGCTCCGGAGGAGCATGTTCCGCAGCGCGCGACGTGGGGGCTCGCGGGCGTCGCACTCATCACCATCATCATCCACGCGCGGCTTTGGGTCCCTGGGTGATGCAACGGCCCCTGGGGTGCGATTGTTGGGCCCGCTGGAGGCCTGGATTTGGAACTTCGGACCATGGACCCTGGGCCCAGCGTGTCCGCGAGCACCTAGCTGGCCGCAGTCGCGGCGCGAGGTGGGAAAGAGAGACGATGCGTCGACCCAAGGCGGGCACGGTGAGGGGCAGGTGGATAAGGATGAGCAGGAGGAGAAAGGAAAAGGGGGAGGAGAAGGAGGAAGAGGAAGAGGAAGAGGAAGAGGAAGAGGAAGAGGAGGAGGAGGAGGAGGAGGAGGAGGAGGAGGAAGAGGAGGAGGAGGAGAGGAGGAGGAGGAGGAGGAGGAGGAGAGGGAGGAGGACACAGGAGGAGGATGGAGAAGGGCAGGATGAAGAAGAGGAGGGGGAGGAGGAGCAGGAGCGGAAGCAGAAGGAGCGGCAGGAGGAGGAGCAGGAGCAGGAGGAGGGGGCGGAGGAGGAGGGGGAGAAGGACGAAGTGGAGGAAGAGGAAGAGGAGGAGGAGGAGGAGGAGGAGGAGGAGGAGGAGGCGTGCGTCGAGTTTGAGGAGCTGGGGGGAGAAGAGGAGGCGGAGGAGGAGGAGGAGGACGCGGGCGACGAGGAGGAGCATGAGGAGGAGGACGAGGTGGAGGAGGGGAGGGAGGAGGAGGAGGCCCCCCCCCCCACCCTGAGGATCGCCACGGCGTCGCACTCCGCCAGCGGCGCATTTGTTTTGTAAATCCTGGAAGCCACCTCCGGCTCAAACATCGGGGGGGTAAGCCGGGGGAGCCTTGAGGGGTGCTGGCGCACCTGGTACCGAAGTAACAATTTGAGTGCTCCTCTCGGGCGGGTGAAACTCTGAAAGCCATGCTGCGCTCTATCCCATAGCGCGCGACTCAGAGAGAAATGTCGGCGTCCTGGTGCAACGCAGGGCGGCGGAAGTGAATCTTGCTGCGGCATCACTGGGCGTCGCGGGCGCCCACCAAGAAGCAGTGTCATGGGCTGAACTCTTGCGCGGACGTCCGCTGCGCGTGCTCCCAGGCGCAGACAGTCAGTAGCTCTTCCACCTGCGCAGAGCTGATGGCGCGAGGTGTGGCACGCAGCGAATCGCAGAGGACAGCCTGGAGGTCATGGGCCTCAAGCCCTGGTGACCCACATGCGCGGAGAACTGCAATCCAATGGCCTCCTGACGCAGGCGTTCTCAGTGAGCGCCCTGCAGAGCGGAACTGTCCTTCGGGCGCAGGATGCATTGCGAACGCGTTCCCGATTGCGCGCTGCACGCCTAGGGGAGACATCGGGAACAACGCGACGCCAGCGGCGGCGAAATTCGCGTTGAGGACCGCTACGTCGTAGAAACTTCCACCGTCGCCCATGAGGTCCGCGAAGCGCCAGACCACCTGCGCGCTCGAAGGCAGCGGTGGTCTTCTGTGGATGACCGAGCCGAGCCGCGAGATGCAGGCGAGGGTGACAAGGGCGCCCCGCTGGACCGCTCGCTGCAAGGGGCGACAGTTGCGCGGCTAGCGTCGTCGGCGTCGCACTCAGCACGGCTGTGCAGAGCATCCGTTCGGCGCCGCTTTGCAGGAGGGGTGGATTCATCGACGTCGCTGGTGGGCCCGCCTGTGACATTGTCGACCATTTTCACTGGACGGGCTTCACCTGGATGAATATACGACGCAAGTGCGTGCATGACTCCCGTCGCCCTCGCGCGTGGTAGGGGCGGCGGACGCGGCGCTCTGTTGGGCGCGCGTGGTTTGGAGGCCACCGCGTACTCATCGGCGGCAATCTCTGGGACTCGTAAACGTTCTATGAGGGTATGCACCTGTCGCTGGTCGAACTTAAGGCTACCTTGCCGGGGTTCCCTGAACAGATTAGTAGCAGAATTTATATGACGGCTTACCGTGGTGCTCGGTTTCTGACTCCATCTAATCTCTCTGAAGGCCCCTATTATGCTATTAACGGAATGGTGGCAGGATGTTCTACGGCCACCACCTTCGTTCAAATATACATCATTCCAATGATTGACCCCCTTCCTATTCCAAGAGCTGAATTTTTGGACATCTACACCAACGATTACGGCGTCAGCTCGGTAAGTACGAAGTCCGCAGCTAGCATAGACCTTACCAGCATGCTCACAACTGCGGTGCAAGGCGACATACATTGCAGTGTGGCTGAAGATAAAGCTTCGGTTATTGCTTCCTCGGCTTCACTAGGCGACAAGCTCGTTCAGTTGTTGGGGAAATACGCTGGAGGTCCTGCTAAGCATTCGGCTGTGAATCTCGGCGCCGACGACACGGCAGGCAATAGGAGAGGTTGCAAATGGAAGCCCAGTCCGTCTCTTGTCGGCCAGGGTCCGACGGTTCCAGAAAGCCAAACGTGCCCTTGGCAAATGGCCTCGTAAGATCTTCATTGCAGGACCTCTAGCAGGAATTAACTTCGGAGCGGAGGTGCACAGCACCTCCGACCACGAGCTCAAGCTGCTGCGCCACTCCTTCGGCAAATGTGTCAAGCCGTCCGCAAGCTCGAAGAGCTTGACGTCGCTCACCATTTTAGAGCGCGACCCGTGCTACTATGCGGCCACGGCGCCGACATTAAGGTATGCGAAAGAGGTTTGGCTCACCAGTACGAGACAGTACACGTTTTCGGTTGCGTTGTCGGTTCTTCGGGAGTCCTGGGAGTCCGCTGTCGGAGGCCCTCCGATTCCCTGGAAAAAGGTGTCTGGACCTCTTTCGGCTGCTAGGGCTTCTCTTTCCAAAATCGGTTGGACGATGAACGATGATGTCACCACCATCGTTGCCGACAATAATGTTTCCTTGGGACTGACCATAACGTCTCCCCGGATGCTCAAAAGATTTCTCTGGGAAGGTGGTATCCGTCATGTTCAGAAGCGTTCGGGGGCGTCCTTGGGCATGGGCTCAGAAAGGGACTGCTACGACATACTTCTCCGGGAGTTGAGGAAGAAATGGTCGCCCCTTGAGAAAGACTGCATTCGCAATTTGGTGTGTGGAGCTTGCTGGATTAGGACCAAAGCTGTAGTCGGGCAACATGCTCGACGACACCCTATGTCCTCTCTGCGGCGCAGGCGAAGACACCATGCACCAGCGGCTGTGGTGCTGCCGGCCCGTTAGCGAGGAAAGATCAGATATTGTCGACGATCAGCTGATCGCAAGAGCCTCTGCGATCATGCCAGATAGTAAATATTGGAAACTGTTAACCAAGGGTCTCTTTCATCAGCATTCAGGCAAGTCTGTACCATGTCCTGTTGCTGAGGGAGGTATGGTAGTGCAGTGGATAGAAGATTCTTCAAACACTTCGACGAACACCGAAGGCCACGCGATCTTCGACGGTTCAGGGCTTAAGAGTCTATTGGTGGAAATGTCTCGGGCAAGCTGGGGGGCGGCGGAGTACAGTGATCAGCGTGAGCTCAAATGCACGGTGTCTGGGCAGGTGCCCAGTGTTCTCCCCCAAACTTCTCAGGCTGGAGAGTCTTGCAGGTTGGGGGCCACCAGCGAGCTCCTTTGTGGGCCCTCTACTGGCTACTCAAATTGCTCCAAAGTCGTCTCTGCTTTCAATTCCCCAATGCCCTTACAAGTCTCTCATGAGCAACTGTATGCTGGCGCTCTTTTAAACGCGTCCCGTGGCCTGTGTTCTAATGTGTATAAGGTCAAGGCTCATATTGTGAACAACAGCGCCTTGAATGCCGACGGTTGGTTTTCAAAAAAAGGTGGTGGTCGGGCTGATGAAGCAGCCGAGCGAGGCGCTTGGAGCCACCCATGAGCATCTCCAGCAAAGATGCTGGAGATCGACGATCGCGTGGCAATCGCTCGAAAAAATGTGTTTTGGCGGCCCGTCTCATGCCGCTGTGGCCGAGGGTGGGCCTGGACAACTTTCCTCGGGCCCCCCATCCTCCTCCTCAGAACGCTGAGAATTCGACAGGTTGTTGTCCTGATTGGGTTTGGTGCCGCTCGCTTTGGCGATGCCAGCGCTGTCTCAAGAGCCGACGTTGTGAGCAGAAGCCTCCGTTCGAAAACTG